TCACGCATCAGCCGAGTATAGCGGCTGCGGGGTCTCCAGCGACGTCATAATAACGAAACTCAATCGCTTGGACTGCTCCCAACGCGTATCGTGGAGGCGGGGACATATGACACTGCAGGCGGGACTGGATGTAAACGACTTTAATTCCTGACCCATTTACTAAGGCCCTTTGCGTGATATACGTTACTTCACAGGCGTGGGTTACACAGGTAGGACAAAATACACGGGTGGGACAAATCCTCTAAAGCGCTTTGGCGTACTGGACATGGTGACACAAGCTATAGTTTGCCATATGCTACACAGGTGTCCTCCGACAACTTATGGCCGCTTGCTGTCATGTAAGGTAGGCTTCGCCGAACCGTACCCTCAATGTAGCATTGAACATCTCCGCTGACCTGTGCCATACCTTTCGTGACCTCTCCAGTAATTTGTGGTGTAGCCCGGGCTGACTCCTTCAGCTCCTCCGCTAGACCCTTGGTAACTTTTCTTCTGGCTTATACCGTATGTCAGGTGACCTCTCCAATAACGGGCTGACCTTCTGATTGACCCCTGTCGGACATATAATGACCTTTCCACTGGCACTGACCTGTGCTATACGCCCTGGTGACCTATCCACTGACCGGTGCTGGGCCCTTGGTGACCTCTCCACTGAGCTGTTCCGACACTTGGTGATCTCTCCACTGACCTGTGCCGAACCCCTCGTGACCTCTCCACTGACCTGTGCCGGACCCCTGGTGACCTCTGCGCTGACCTATGCCGAACCCCTGGTGACCTCTCCGCTGACCTGTGCCCAGTCCCTGGTGAGCGGTGACATCTGCACTGACCTATGCCGGACCTCGGGCGGGGTCCAGGTGACGGTGAGCGTGTCGGCGCTGGAGGTGGCGCAGCTGACGTCACTGGGCGGCTGGCCGGGCGCGTCTTCGGCCGTCTTGGCCGAGACGGGCGCGCTGGGCGGGCCCGGGCCGCAGCTGTTGTAAGCCGTCACCGAGACGGTGTAGGCCGTGAACCGGTCCAGCCCGGTCAGCAGCGTGTGGGTCGAGGCGCCGTCGGACACCTGCACCGACTGCCGGTCCCGCGGAGAGCCGCCGGGCCTGCCGAGCGTCGGTCACGCTCACGCCAGGGTGCCACATGGCTGGTCATCAAAGGCCCGATGGTCCTTCTGACGACTTCCGACCTGTCTTTGAACGCCAAAGACTAATCGATAAGCATGGGACAGACCATTTCCGGCTTGACCAATACACAGATCATTTCCGGCTTGACGCTGGATATGTGAAATTCACCTGAGTGGTGAGGGTGGCAATTTAGATTGTTGGGCACAGGGTGCGTTGACTGCACTCGACGAGGCAATGACAGCCCACAAGCTCTCTTCTTTCTGTTTCGACACGAGCTGTTGAGATCACAAAAGGAAATGAGAAGCAGCCCTAGCAAGCGCAACTGTCATCTGCTTGAGGGGCGGGAGGCTGCACGGACGGTCGTCACACCTCCACCGACTTTGCTCCCACAGGGCCTGTCAGTGCAGCCCACACCCGATTGTTTGACCTGACCCGAGTCATTTGTCTTCAGACAGGGGCGGCTCTCGCTTCCCGTGGCTCGTTTCCACGCGTGCCGGCGTGGGAACGCTCGGGGGCGCCTCCTCCCCGACCCGGACCCCGTCCGGGCGGCGGCATCGGACGTCCAGAGGCGAGAAAAGCGTCAGGCGCAGGTGGACGAAGGCGTGGGGCAGTAATGGCAAAGGCAAAATATCGATGGCAGCATATGGCAGCGGTGGCAGCAGACAATAAACAACTTGAATGCCCGCGGCGCGCAGATGGGTGACAATTTGTGGCGGGACAACATCGCTGGAAAAACATAGTATAAAAAACATAGTGTACAAAACAAAAACAGGCAATATCATGAACGGCATTACATGAGCAAACAGCAAAAAGAGCATACGATTACAATCTGAGTGAAAAAGATAAATACGGAAACAATTAAATCAGTGGAACACAAAACAACAGAGCCAATGCATGATGCATTGCAGGACATGCTCCCTCATAACAACAGGCAAGGGCCACCTAGGCTAAAAAAGTAGGTGAAGAATAGGTGCGCCTGAGGCTTTGCGTCCATAATTCCCAAACATGCAGTCAGCTATCCCACTATGCTCCAAGGGTTAAATTCGCGGCACATATCTACCCAAATAGGCTACACCGATGCAAAATAATAAACAGGAATCCCCAGAATCAAGTGAAACTACACAGCATGTAAGAATATAATTACAATCCATGAAAGCCACTGTCAACTGTCACGTGCCAACCTGCCCGTCAGCACGCGCTCTAGCTTGACCGCCTGTTCTGCTATCTTTGGAAGATGGCGTCCAGGCACATAAACAAAATGTCTTGATGGAGGAGGAGAGGGGCCGCGCGATGACCACAGTCCACCGTCAGCCGTGATAACGAGTCCCGCCTCGATGTCGTGACGTCACGAGAGGCGGCACCGCACTGCGTCGGTTGGCAACAGCCTTGGATCGCCGAAGTTGATCGGAAAGTCCGCGCCCTCCGGACAAGTTTGACGCTCCGGCGGCGGTGGCGCTCGGCCATGCCGCCTCTAATTGTTTAACTTGACGAGCTCGTGCGGCCGAACGCGCCGCCAGGTTTCGCACGCGGGGGCGGCTCCTGTCCACTGCCACGATGTGCGCTGTGGAGGAGAGAGCAGCGCCGGCCGCTGTCCGGCCATCCGGGACAGGAGGAGTGGACGGTTCGGACCGTGGAGCAGGGAATGCAGATGTGGGTGGTTGTCTGACCAGCTGCGAATTCGTTTTAGTGGAGGTTACCGCAGCTGATCGGCGAGCACGGTTTTACTATGCCAGCGCGTCTTGTAGTGATACACGCGAGTAATATCAAACCATACCTCGGAGGACGCAAATTTGGCATCGATTGAATCAAGTATCATTTCGTGAACATTGTTTGCTGAGACTGTTTTGTTTTGTGCTGCGTATTTAGATAAGCTGTCCGCGTTAGTTTCAATGCACTTTTCAAATAGTTCTCGAAGGTTCGAATTGTCTTATTGACGGTGTGCCGTTATTGAAAAATGTAAGATAAGTTCAGTAAATGTGTGACCTGTCTGCCTTCCTACGCAATACAGCCACTCTGCTGTGGGTTATATGCTATAAAAGTAAGGCTTCAGCTGTTTACACCCAAATATATTTTACTGAACCCTGCCCTTCCAGATGTCTGAAGTTGATCTCGACGAAAACACAAAGATGCTTCATTAATCTAAAGACCACTAAATTTCCGCTCAGGAGTGCTCAGCAACCTCCACCAAACAAAATGATCATCGAAGATCCCTCACTATCTTATCATGCAAGCCGTCTGGCAAAAGAACCCTGCAAAATAAAACGCGAAGCATATTAGAATCTGCATCAGCTCGCAGGGTATCAGCCACGAACACCGGGGGCGGGGGGGAGGGAGGTTTCAGGGACTCGGAGCTATAGTGCGGCTGCGCGCGAGACGAAGATGCCCTGTCAAGCATGTTTTGGGGTCGGAACGGCAAAGAATACGGCTAGTGCAAGTATTTGCATGGTCCATGTCTGTTCAGGGTAGAAACTGAGCTGGGTAAAACTGGCGTGTGACTTTGGCTGCCATGAGCAAGGCATGGACCATCTCACAACATCGGCAAATATCAACCTTGACGGTTTGAAACGTTTCATAGGGCAAGGAAGACTATATTTGAGTGGAGAACCATCCAGGGGGTAAAATCTTCGTGACGATATGTAAAAAATAAGGAAATTAAGTTGAGCCTGTTTAATGCTCTGAATGCCTTAGCCATAAGAAATAAGATGTGGGCGACATAACTTTGGTTGTTAAACCAACATCAGTACCCGCGTAGCACCTATCTGTTGTTTTCGTGAGCACATCCGCTTGTTCTAAGGTAATAATAAATAAGTTTTGGATGGTAAACTATGTGTTTAGATCAAAAGCACCAGTACCTTCCCTTTACAGTCCAAAAAACGTGTCTCTGAAAATATCGAGTTCATTTTCTAACTGAAGGCTTGTTGAAGTGGGCCTTCTCAAATTGTTGCTCAGTTTATAAATTCTAGAAGGAACGTAAGTCATAGCTTAACAAGCAACTGTTCATCCTCAATAAACCAAGCATCTGAAATGCGCCACGTTCTTGCTCCATCTTACTCTATTTATGCTTTGACTTAGGCCGTGAGATTATGAACAAACATGTTGCCATATCATCACATCTATTGGATGCTGCCATATCATGTTATGCCATTATGGGGTACAGGCATCCACTTGGGCGCATGTTGGGCCGAGCCTTTTCCGCGCCCTCGTATGCCATTGGTACACTGCAGAATGATTTACATTCACTGCAGAAATTCATTATAGAATGAAACCAGGAACCAGACTTAGCTATCCAAAAAATGCATAGTTTTATAGCTGTAAAACCTGCAAAGCACCAGGCATGAAAAAGGCCCAGTGAAAGGTGAGGGCCAGTTAGGGGTACTCGTGTGATACTTATTGCAGAGATTAAGTCTACAGCACTGCAGCCGTGGATAAAGCGAAATAATGACGATATCTGAGTTGTTCGGATGTACTTGTCTATGTTTCGTAGGGGGAATTTTGGGCTTCTCCAAGGAAGTAAAATGCAGCGTGTGGGCATACCACAGCTTTTTACATCTTAAGCTCAAAACCAGCATTTGGGAAGGCCCAAACCCATGATGACGCAGTTTTTGTTGCATCATCCACATTCGAAGTTCAAATTCTTCACCTTAGAAATTTTCACTGTTGTTTGCATTTCCCGTAAGGGCGAAATCCTTCGCAATTCAACTCGAGAGCTTGGCATCATAAATCCTAAATCCCCAGACCGTTTTTGACCTCGATGGAGACAGAAACACTGTAGACTCTCAGGGGCTATTAATAAGTGGTTTGATTTGGACAGACATTATGTGAACTCGGAGTAACTCGCGCTGTCTTCGGCGTGTTGAGCGTGTGACATACCCGACGCGGCTGAAGGAAACGTTGTAGCCGAGGATGTTCCCGTTGACCAGGTCGGGGTCTATCGGCTCCCAGGAAACTCGCAGTGAAGTCGGTGTTAAGGCTGTCAGCTCAGCTGATCGCACGAAGCCCTCCGGAAGGTCCTCGTCCGTTTGTACCTGCGATGACGAGCAGGGCATTCTGTGATGTGCCATGAGTTCCGCTTCCAAGCAGCTATATTTCCAACTAACGGACAAGACAGACAATTGTTTGCAAGACGCGTAAGGTGGCAGTCCGTAGCGAAGTAGACATGAAGTCCAAGTGGCCAGGCGATCATAGACTGCGTGATGGAAGTTCACCATGTGCGGGCACGTTCTTCCACACCTCAGTGGCATCCCGCTGCACTACTATGAAGTAGGCTCTGCACGAGACATTGTCGACCATGAACAACTCACTCATTTGAAAGTCACATCAACGCGAGTGGGAGAGCCAGGATGATCGGCTTATTATGTGTATTTACAAAGTGTATTCCGGTGGTCCGTAATGAGTGTAAGCATCTGGGAAGCTACCTCAAATAGGTCGTTATAACCCTGGCCCCGGTAGCGGCGTTTTTCCAATGATTAGTTCATTTGGGTATAGCTGTTTAACTGGCTTATGCCTTAGGATTTCCAGCCTGCCAACGCCAACAAACAGCAGTCCATGGAAAAGTTCTTATTTCTGATCACATCACACGATTTTTTCCTAAGAATTGACCTTAAATGGGAATGACTCTTTAACTTACAATGCCTGCCATTTCTGCTATGATCCCTCAAATTACAGCTTCATTGGCGGAACTGCAAAGTTCAAAATTCAAAATTCCACCCTTCAGAAACACGGCGCATTTACACCAGCGGGTAACCTGGTTTTCGTAGAAACCTCTCACGCCCGTGCATCGCTGCCTATTGGTTGGGTTGTGCGAGTGTGCAGAATAATACACTTGGTGGTTAAGGCCGGACAGGATGTCGTCGCGTGAACCTCTCGGGCGTTACAAGCTCACGCGCTGCAAGTGATGGGCCGAGTCTCTGGCACCAATCCTGCACAAAGTCTGGTCGGCCATGATTGACCGAGCGTTGTGGCATTGTGTCTTGCAAGATATGCTGTTGGTCGTTTTAGGTATCCGTCTGAACGAATACAGACCGGGTTCTTTCTCTATCCAGCAAGTTTTAATTCAAGTGCAAATTGTGCTACATCAATATCAGTGTTATGCCCAAAAACTTCCGCATGTGAGGCGACAAGCTTAGCCACGGGTGCAGTTTCGTATTCAGTTGGGAGGGGGTCCAGCCCACTTTCCCATCCCCAACTTTGAGAGGAAAGCCAGCAAAATTTGGGGGAAATCGCCAATTCGTCGTCAAGCGTCCAGTGTCGCCAAATGTTCCGTCAGTTATGCTGCTGCTGTAAAATGAGAGGAGGAGCTTTCGTCATATTTCAACTGCTCAGGCCCCGTCCCCGCCCCTTCTCCCAACCTCGTTTTGCCAAACCACGCCCCTGAGCCGAGCGAGTCTTGATGTCAACGAACCTAAGATTGTGTAGCTTTGGCGGCGTGACGCGGTCAGTCACCCTTTTGACGGACTAAAATTGTTGCGCCCGTTGGGTGCACAACAATGAAAGTCTCATCAAAGAATATGTTTTAGTTATGCCGTTATATTTCCAAAACATTTAAATGCAAGCTATTTGGTGAGGCGACGCATTCATGCACCGTTTTAATATCACCACTGCTTTACTTCCAAATTTGATTAACATAGGAGACGCAAATATTAATCCTTGTCCTGGTTCGCTTTTTTCCTAACGCGAACTGATGGGGAGTTGGTTCCCCGCCCCCTTGCTGTTTCTAAACTAAACAAAAAAGCTTAGCCGAAAACACTGGTGGATTAGTCGCAACAATATCTCTTCATGGGTAGTAAGCCGATGCTGCTAGGCAAAAATTAAGCCCCATATGCCAGGTCAAAGATCAAATGTGTGCGTGCTTTTCAGCTCTACAACCATATACATACGAGACCATGAATTTTAGCAGCGCAAACCCTTACACTGGCGTGTTCCCTGTTAGGTTTTGAGAAGAACGATGTTGTTGGCATACGATCTGAACATGCATGTATGATGCATGGCCCGTTAGCGTCGCAGTGTCGGCTCGTCTAGCTGGCGTTGTCACATCGTCGGTCGCCGTCCGCCGTCCGCCGTCCGCGCCGGCCGCAGGGCGCCGTGCAGTGTTCATATATGTTCATGTGCAGTGTGTCATATAAACTGCCACTGCTCCGAAAGGACACGTTTTCATTGTCAAAGCACGTGCAATGGATGCTCCAAAGGCTGCTGAAAATTTTAGTGCAATTGCACAATATTCTGGAGAGGTACCCTAAAAAACCTTAGGGGGTTGCATCGATCCCTCCTCCCTGTCAGGGCGGCGCTAAAATCGCGATTGAATACGAATACTCTCCAAACAATACAGTTTGGAAACCGATCCAGATTTTAATGAGCAGGCGTTTCAGATACATAAAGCCACCTGATGCTGCAACACTGTCAGGATAGAACGGACCATCATGCTAGTAAAAAAGGTGGGTTGATGTAAGCAAACCATGACCCGCAAGCTCGTGCAAACCACACACCCGTACGTTGGGTGGCTCTCTTTGGAGCGATGTCATATCTTGGCGTTAAGAGAAGGAAAAGATGTACAATCAGCTGTGCGGTACAAGCAAACGTATCGCCCGCAAACCAATTATCGATCATAATAATGTCTGAACTGTGGGCCTAGCAGTAGCGTACCCGGCATTGTCCTACGTCACCTCCCCGCGAATTTGGTATCATATACAAACAGCCGCCTAAACTTAGAGACACTTGGGCATGAAAGCTACATGGAGCTGAAATCAGTTCATCGTTACCGATGCGTGGCCAAAAGATTAGCGTCGCTCCCAATACTTTGTCATGATAGCCATGAACAAGAACATATAAATTCGCCCATCCAGTAGATCAAAATCCCGAGCCTTCACAACCCCACCCAAAGCCAGCGTTCAAAAAGTATCGACTGCACGTTTCTGCGCAAATGCTTAGCAACAGCGCGACCTTGTCAGCTAAACTCATGCAAAGCAAATACACCAATGGACATATAAGTCTTATTTCCAAGGTCCACATGGGCGGCGGGATTGTTTAGTTTTTGTTTTATTCTCATCCGCATTATACAAAAGCAATTACGCCTGTTCCGCATTATACAAAAACAATTACGCCTGTTATCACCTCACTCGCTGCAGCCCTTGAGCGGTGTCTATGGGTGTGTGACAGGCTGGTGGACTTTTACAAACTGGCACCGGGACAATTTGGCATGCACATGTTTCCTTTGCGCGACGCCAATCGGTGAACATTAGATGTTTGTCGCCGAAGTAAACTGGAGAAAAAGGTCACGCCCATAAGCAGTTTCGTCCAACCTCTTAGCATTGCTGAATGGATGGTTAATCTCAGGCATATTCAAAGTTCCAACGCAAGCCACCTATTATGGAGAAGATTGGTTAAAATCTGGATATCACACGTATTATTTGTGTATAGACAACATTGGTAACGACAACACATGGCAATGAATAAACCAAGATTCGAACCTAAGCTCTTTTGGTGCAGTGTGATAAAACTCCATTCCACTTCCAAAGAACAGCAATGTGTACGCGATGTTGACAATCACGTATATAGATCAACAGTCTCCCGTGCGTTTTTCGCAGTCAGCATACCTGCTCAACTTCATATCTGCACACATACATACATCCGATATGCCTATATATATATATATATATATATATATATATATATATATATATATATATATATAAATCATTTATCAATACATCATTTTCTCTGTCACCTTCGCGTGGGGTCTTATTGGTCCTGGTGTTGTTGTACCTGTGCTGTGAGTCGTCCGACCGAAACTGAGACCAAGCACACCGAAACCTTGCCATTTTTAACACAAACTTTCCATAAAGTGTAAAAACTGAAATCATTGCGTCCTCTAAATGTTTGACTCCAGAAACGGCCTTTGTGAGGCACATCACAACAAATCACAGACCTTTCCAGGTGTCGTGCGCGGTTTTGTTCACTATATACGGCCGACGGCTACCCATAACGCGTTGCATTAGGTCCTTTTAAAATTCTGATCACATTTAGTAGAGAATAGTGCTGCATGTGAAATGCGAAGAGGATGCAAGAGCAATGGCGAGAGAAGTATGGACCTTTAGCTGTCAAGATGACCTGTGCCAAAAGTTTCACGGAAGCAATCGCATCTTTGCAGAAGAAGTCGTTGCAAGTTTCCAGCAATGTAGAGCATGCAAGTAACTATAATTTGCTTCAGGTGCGGCGCCACGGATTTTTAGTTGGGAGGAAGGATTTTCAAGGGCCTCGTGGACAAAATGGGGTCTTCTCATATTAGGCCTTCTAGCAGTGTCATATTCAGCGTAGGGGTACCGAGGTCATATGCTCTTTTATCAAACAATGGCAGGTATTACATCCAAGTCAATAAATGTCGACGATGCAAAAAACGGAATGGGGGCCTCTTATTATCCAGCGAAGGGCCTCGGTAGCCAAAGACAGGGTCTCCTGATGCATAAAGGGAGTTCCTTATACGGAGCAATATGCTTCCGATTCATGAAGGGCCTCCAAAGGGAGCCAAAGGGCCTCGTTATCGCAAGACAGGGCAGTCTGATTCGGAACCGCGGCGATTTGATCCATTAAAGGGGCCTACTGTTCCAAAACTGAGGTATCCTGAATATAAATGATGACCCATAGCCCAGCACAGAGCCTTTTATTTGTAATGGGGGCCTCCCGAGCCGGCAAATGGGACTCGTTAACATAATATTGGACCCTTTGACCTAGACCATGAGCTACATAATTCAAAAAGGTGGCCTTATTATCCAGAAAACGAACCTCTTGATATAGAAAATTGTTTTCTAGTCTAGAGTGCAAAATATCTTACTTATAGAGGTAGGCTTCGTGATCGAAATAACGCCCCCCCCCCCCCCCCCCCGATAAAGGAAGGGGTCTTCTGGGTCAACTTTAATGCTACATAGTTTAGTTTTGGGGCTTTCTTGATGGGAATTTTCGTAATCTACGGTTATTTACAATGCCTTTAGTTTGGGAAAAAGGTGCCTCCCCGAAAATTTGGGTAAGCAGCAAAAGCATACTCTTGCTTCCTCTTCCCACCCTCAGACAGTGCCGCCCCTGAGCTGCATGCAAGCAAGGAAGACAATATGACGTGCAAGTAAGAGCATAATACTGCGTTACTGATGTGTTATCCGGCGGATAGATTTGTGGATGGTGGAGTGGGATTAAATTCTTGTGCAAATATCGAGCGGCATAATAGTTAATATGTTGTTCTTCTCTAGCTCCTAACATCGCTTACATTCACGGCGATGTCATTTCTGCACACAGTCATTCATACTATTCGCAACGATATTTTTCTGTACACAGTTAGATAACCTTCATGTTATTTTAATATGCATGAAAGACTAAATTTGTTAACTCTATTCCCACGCGGTAAATGTCTCTTGAATTCTAGTCGGAAAAGAGGACTACACGGCTAAAAAGTTGTTAAAGTCTAACCGAGGTAAACAGTCGGCATCTACGTCCATCATCTTTATCAACGACGAAACTTTTCGGAAAAACACCATCCTACCATAAATGCCATTAATCATCAAACACTAGTCTGAGTGGTTGCAAAGGTTTTACAGCAACAAGTGCAGTTCAAAACAGGTTTTATAAATTCCCGCTGTCCTTTTCCGAATGTCTGTTCGCCCGCAAATTGGGAACACATTGCGGTTCGTGGCCAAAAATGTTTCCCAGGTCAAAAAGCACTGAGGGAAAATGCTACACGACAAGACTGAGCTGATGCAAAAGGAGCATATCGTAAAAGCAACACAACAAATGCACAAAACTGGCCTGCGCGAGATAGAGTTGCGGTTTTAATTGCATCAAAAACTTTCTAAATCAAATAGGAATCTCTTCCAGCTGTATTTATTTCAGTAATCTGCTTTTCAAATTTAAAAGTTTCTGAAACTTCACAACAGAAGCCTATCCAACTGAAGCAAACATTCGCGGCCGAGACTTCCCATAAGTCACAGAAAACGGCGTTTTTCTGCCAAACAAATGGAAACGGAAGATCTCAACAAACAGTGCCGCTCAGGCTGCAACACTGCCGTATGGTCCGCCCCAAAACCCTGCGGCGCCAGCCGTGTGTTCCGCCCCCAACCCTGCGACGTCAGCCGTGTGTTCCGCCCCCCCCCCCAACCCTGCGACGTCAGCTGTGTGTTCTGTCCCCGAACCCTGCGACGTCAGCCGTGTGTTCCGCCCCAGAACCCTGCGACGTCAGCCGTGTGTTTCGCCCCCGGACCCTGCGACGCCAGCCGTGTGTTCCGCCCCGGACCCTGCGACGCCAGCCGTGTGTTCCGCCCCCGGACCCTGCGACGTCAGCCGTGTGTTCCGCCCCCGGACCCTGCGACGCCAGCCGTGTGTTCCGCCCCCGGACCCTGCGACGCTAGCCGTGTGTTCCGCCCCGGACAGTGCGCGGCTTAGCGTGCGCTCCGCGGGGTGAGCTGCGGAGTTGGCGCCGGCCAGATGGGTCTCGTTCACGCTAAGTGGTTCCACGCCAGATAGCGTGTTTGCAAATCACTCCAAACGGCCTACTAATTACCACTACTTTATCGGTGGCAAACATTGGCTAACGAGGCGACACAGAAGCTGGCCGTCCCTACTCTTGATGGTGGCAAAGGCTGGATTAGGAAGAAGATAAAGAAAAGAACCATAGCTTGATCATCGCAGGCTAGAAAAGGTTCAGTAATTTTCTACCAATTAACATCCCAAAATTTAAAATCTAGGGAAACATAGACATTGTAAGGAACATCGTCCTTCCATGAGAAAAGAGAATCAGTAACAGACAGGCTTACCTCTATGACTGGGCTAGGCTTGCTTCTCCCCACGTCGTTCACAGCGGACACTCTCAGTTGATACGCGACCCAAGGTCGGAGGCCAGCGAGGGTGACCCGAGCGCCCTGGTCCACTGCAGTCTCTAACCATGTGCCTGGAACGGGTCAACGTGCCACGTAAGGTCTTTCACACAGATGGATGTTTCTGAGAGGTGGAGAAAGGAAGAGTAAAATAGAAAGAGCGTGAGGCGGGGTCTAGCGTTGAGAGATGGACAGACGGAGACACCATTTGTTTTAAATACAATGCAGTGGTATGATATTATGATAAACGTATTCATGTCATTGAGAATGTTGACGCGTGCTCGTAATGTGAGTGGGTTCGTGTTATGCAAAACAAATGGGGCAGCCAGTTCTGCAATTCAAACGTCGGTGATTCTCAACGAGCAGAGCTCACTGAAAACATACCCTGGTAAAATATCGAGTCGGCGGTGTGCGGGGGCATGCCAAACACTACCCTAAGCCTCAGCATGCGCTGCAATAGACGGTTCGAGGCATCTCGACAGTCGCGTGGCGGGTGACGGCGGCGCCGTGTCGCTCTGCGCGCGAAGGTGAAAAGTGTGACGTCATGCTGAGCCTGTCACATGCGACAGATGGCAGACTCCCAAGCGGCCCTCGCATCCGTGGAGGTAAAGAAGCATTGTTTGATGCCTACTTTCGTGGAACTTGTCAGAAATTCGTCAAAGGACAGACCCTTTCACAAGTGATCAATATTGCCCCCGGCGTGCGTCTTCTTCCAGCTTCTGACAAACACCTATCACCCAACCGCGGGCTGCGCGTCGCGCTGCCTACAATGCTGACACGCTGTAAAACCCAGCCTGAAGTGCCCGAACTCCGCGCTGCATAAGCCACGCCAACATCAGTTTGGCATTGGACGACGTAAAAGGCCACCATGAGCCAATACGCCAATACAATCTCGACCCAATGGAATTCAGTTCACTTTAACGCAGATCGCCTCTCGGATGCAAATCTGCTGCAAACGCTGAGGCAGCACCGAAGCTTTCACAGACGATTCCCGTCACGCAATAAAGAGCCCCGGCGGCCGGGCTGAAAATTCTCTGCAGCTTGTTAAAAATCCAGACCCCTCCCCCCCCCCCCCCCCCCCCCATATCCCTTCGTCCCTCTGCTTTGTCCCAGAAACGGCAAAAATGAAAACCCAGACGCCCGAGAAGACGCCTGCGCGTGAGAGATAATCGACGAGTCGGCGCGCTTTGATGTAGTTCCGTCGCGCTTCCGACAGTCTAAAAACGATTCCATCCGGCATAATCTGGACGAATATTCATCGGGGTTCGTTCTCGAGATCCTCTGATGTCTGTGGACCGTCTGTAACTTGAGGCCCACTAACGCCGACTACCGGTGCCTTTACTGCTGCTGTTCACGAGGAAGGACACGGAATGGACGAGGAGAGGGAAACAGCCGAGGATCAATGTCTGGAAGGCCAACGACACCGCGATTCCATTATGGGAGAAGAATAAACAAAGAACGTGGTGCCAAAACAGGTTCATCTGATTACGGGAAAACGGGCAATCAACGGGCTGCGTCTGACGATAACAATGTGTCCGAAGCACCGCCACGTTGATCGGCGTTCCGTGACGGTTTATAGGCCCATCGATAGAGTGCATCAAAGACTTTTCGCAGCATAACGGTTAACCCGATGTACGCAATTATTCTCTTTTTATGCAACAGACATCCGCGTGGTGAGTCGCTCAGATCAACGTACTCGTTTCCACGGATACAATTCTTTTCCCACGCAGCAAGCCATCGCCTTGCTAAACACGCGCTGACACGCTCTTCGAAGCATTTGTTTTCCGAAAGGCACGCGTTTGAGAACTCACCATTGGTTTCGGCTCTTCGGTACTGAACGATGTATTTGACATCTGCTGTGGGTCGTGACCCAGGTCAGCGACATCGAGCGGCTCGCCACCGAGACCAGAGCCATGTGGGTGGGCATTGCAGGCGCCTCTGAACAATACCATCCCACTGACAGCTCGAGCATTGGCCCACCAGGCCCCTGCGCTCATGAGAGCTCTCAGACAGGCGATTCGATATCACAGTTCAGTCTTCAGTTACACGGACCGAAGACAACCTTAATCACCAGCAAATACCGAAAACAGGCGACCAGACATCCTGGTTCTGAGTTTATTCCGATTGATATGCAATATGATCACCATCAACATCACCATCATCAACATATCTTCTGAGGACCTTCCACATGCTGGATTGCCGTCTTTCCCTACCGTCACCTGGGTGCTACTGCACCAAATCTTCCCCCGTGCCGGGGATGGGCCCAACGGCGGCGGTCCGGCGTCGCTTGAAGCAGCGCGTTCTGGCCCAGGAACGGCACCCCGCCCCCACACCGGTGTCAGCAGCCGGGCGGCGGCCCCGCGGCGACACAACATACCGCTGCCATCCGCCGGCGCAGTGGTCGTTATCAATTCACGGCGCCAGTCCCGGCCGGCCGGCCGTCCCCCCCCCCCCCCTCCCCCCCCCCCCCGGCCGTCCCGGCCGGTCTAATTCGAGCGCGCAGGGCGGCAGCGGCGAAGGCGGCGCACCTTTCACCGTTAGTTGGGCGAACAGATGATCACGGCCGTAGTCGTTCTCTGCGGCGCAGATGTACTCGCCGCTGTCGCTGATCAGCGCCGCGGAGAGTCGCAGCAGCTTGGCCGTTATCTCGCCGGCCGTCTCCTCCAGCACGGAGACCCTGTGGCAGCGAGAGGAGGCCACACGTGGTGTCGTCTGACGTCTCCTGCAATGCGAAGTCCCTGGGGCAGGAGAGGAGGCCACACGTGGTGTCGTCTGACGTCTCCTCCATTACGGAGACCCCTGGGCAGGAAAGGAGCCACACTGTGTCGTCTGACGTTCTTCTCCAATACGGAGATCCTCGGCACGGAAATGCGGGGAGCCGAGTTTGACAGGCCGTCGCGTACGCCATGGAGATGAGAAAGCATTTTCAGCTTGCTCAAGCCGTCCTGTGCAGGAAAGCTGCTTCACGTTCAGCATTGCAAGACGATAACGCTACATGTATAACTGAGGTCACGATGTTCTTGACGTCTGTCAGAGGTGAACAAAAACCACAAATGACATAACCCCACACTAAGTTCACAAGCGCTCGTGTCTGGTCAACTGGACTTGCTGGAGGTTTTTTTCTAGGGTCATTGCCGATCGGCGCGCTATAGCCCGAATGTTAGCCGAAGTGCTAGAAGGTTTTGGAGTGTTCGATGACACCTGACATCTCTGAGATAATTTATTAGACAAAAAATAATTAAATTTAGGATTGCAATAAGTCCCGCGACCCAAGGCTAGGCATGAAGACGAGACCAAGGTTCAATCCGCCTGCTTTTTTTTACTCATGGGCTACCTGTATAGGAAGCTTCTGGTGTTCATTTGGAATTAAATGATAACAGGGACAGCAAAAATATATTTTATAGACTTTTTTATAGGTCAGAGTGGGTCACTGACCGAACATGGCCCACCTCAATTTTGTTTTAAGGACATACCGCCTATATAATCTTCAACGTCGACTCAAAAGCTCAACAATCAAAACATGTCGTGGCAGTTGATCACCATGACCTTTTGAGGACAAACAAGGTTATTCACCTTAAATGAACACCAGTGACCTTTTGCATAGAACAGTCCTATAGGTTCAAGGCAGTCGCATGAGGAGGACCTGTGACACTTTGGAAGCTCATACGGCATTTGAGCTTGCTTGCCAAAGGTCATATCCTAGGAAGCTCACATTTTGACACAAATTAGTTCACACAACCCAGCTCACCCTGTGAATTTGGTATCTCTAGCTTCCTTGGTT